ACGTTAGTGGATGAGAGCAGGATGGTAAACTTCCTCTGCAGCAGTATTTAAGACCAGAGGTTACATAGCTCCCTCACACAACTATGAAAGATGGGCACTCTGGATGTGACGCTAATAATTAATAAATGACCTAAAATAATATACACAATAATTTTATTTAACATATTTATTTCATTCTTCGTAAACATTACATCACCATAGCAACATATCACAGCATGTTTTGTTTTGCCGTCCTGCCATTCTGTGGGACTGTGTGTTTTTCCTGCGCTGTGAGGAATGTGCCGTCTGTCTGCCTGAATCCATGTGAATGCAGCCCAACTCTGACAGCAGTGTGTGAGCGTTCATCTTCTTGCATCTAAATGTACCTGTATGGTTTTTGCAAGGTACAAAATGTGACTTCTTACCTCCTGAAAATTGTGCTGGGTGAACTTGTCTGCGATGCGGAGCAGCTCGCGGCAGGAGTGCGTGTCTGCGAAGGCCCTGATGCCCAGACAGTTGGAGGGATCCAGCTGTCTCTTGAGGAACTCGCAGCAGGCCTCCTGGATCTCGGCCAGCTGGAGAAGGCAGGCGGCAGGGAGCAGCGTCTGGACGTTTCCTTCCTCTACAGTCACCTAGGATTGGGGGAGGTCAGGATATCAGAGACTGCTTCACACACTCATATAGCAATGCAAGCTGCTGCTGGTGAGCCACTTGAGCGAGACTTGTTGTCTGTGGAGTTTCTCTCATCTCAGCTGTGGAACCCCGCAGCTCCTGCTCTTCAGCTTTCAATGAGGCTGTTGTGGATTTGTTTGTACTGTTCTTTTATATTTAAGATGCAGTTTTATCCTGCAAACTGACTGACTGAGACCACAGTGATTACACACAGGGAATCTCAATTCATTTACAGAGATTTGTTTTTTAACACTGTAAAATACTCCACCACTATAACACACCACCAATCCCTGAAGCTGAATATCAATGACTGCTGCTGTTGTTACCTGTGAAGTGTAGGCAAAGTCAATGAGCAGCTCCATGGCTCGCTCATCGATGTCGCGGATTACCACTTCGGTCTGCCTGCTCTCTGCCAGCTCTCCAGTGAACATCGCCCTGAAGAGAACATGGACATCAACTCAAACATACTCCCCCTGCACTCTGATGATAACTCGTGTGCCGGTGGATTCTTTTCCAAATGTGAGCTGAACACACAGCTTGGTACCTGAAGTAGGGGCTGCAGGCGGACAGGATCACGCGGTGAGCGTAAATCTTCTTGGCGCCCACCACCAGCACCACGTCGCAGAGCTCCCGGTGTTTTCTCAGCAGGTTGATCACCTCCAGGGTCTGCCGCGGGTGTTTGTCCGAGACGTAGGGCATGCGCGCGGGCTGGGGGACCCCTTCAGGGAGCTTGTTGGGGTCCCCCAGAGTACAGCGGCTGGTGATGTCCATTCCAGTGGCGTCTTGGCGTGCGCTGGTGGCCCTAAACATAAACCAGATGGGCAACGATTAAGTGAGTGAATATATCCTCGGTTTACATTTTTGTTTCAAACATTTGTGTAGGATGTAGATAACAAAGAGTGCAGTAGCCAAGGACAACTTTTCTATTTTACTTTCTATTGAACTATGTTTCTTCCTTCCTTTTGGTTTAATCCAATCAGGGACTTTAGACATGGTGGTGTTCGTCTGAATACATTATATATGTTGATATATGTAGTATATAATCCAAAGCCCCCCTCATCATTACACACACCTGACCTGTCTGACCTGTCTCTGTCTGTGGGTGTCAGCTGAACCAAATATAGTTGGGTCACTGGCACTAGACAGCCAGTGTAAACTTATCTACGCCAGTCAGTTCACCCAGTGTACCCCCTACGTGTTGTAGAGTGTGGGTACAGGACCATTTTGGTTCTGGGACATTGGTTCGCTTTAGATCATGTTCCCACTACCAGCCAAAACCCCCCCGTCATCTGACACATCTACCACAACATGTGGTGTATTCATTATGGGAGGAAGAAATTATGTGTTCACTTGGAAACTATTACTATGGTAACAGGGTCCAAAATTAGCTTCCACCAAGCCCCAAATGCAGGTACATTTTGGGTTTGCCAGAAAAATGAATTAGGGTTAATCATTTGGTCACAGGGTAGCTGAAACTAATGTGACCCTCACTGTGCACCGTACCTATCGTGAGGTCAGCGAATCCAATCAAAGCAGCGTACTACTATTTGGCCACATTCTCCATAATGTCTAAGTTTTTGGTGTAAGAAACATGTGTTTTGTGTTATTAGAGAGATGAAAACACATTCCACATGATGATGAAGAGAAAAGTCACGAATGTCAGTGTTTTTGCAATAAGTGGTGTACACATAATGTTACATATCTACTTAAAGACTTACATTAAAGAAATGTAAAATCTGCTTGGAACAATAATGTGTGTCTGATATGTTGTTCCTACAACCAAATGTATCATTTCCACATTAAAATCCTTAAAAAGACATCTTACACATGTGGAAGTTGCATACTGGACCAGCATGAGTGTACACAGAGCAGTGCAGAAGCAGCAGCAGGGCAGGGTGTGAACGTTACAAACGGAGTCTTGTCTCAAAATGACCCAACCACAAAACTAACAGCGCTGTCAGCAGCCCGACAGAAACCCTGTGGTGCGCTAGGATTTTTACACTTTTACTGTCTCTGATTGTGCAGAAATGGGATGTTTTCACCTCACAGGCATAAAAACGTGGGTCTGACAGGTAAAACACGAGACTAATGTAGGCTGATATAGGAGTTGAGCATACATTGCTGTATTTTCTTTTTGTTTTTTGTTTTAACAAAGCCAGTTAGCAGGAGCTTGCCTTTCTCCTGCTAACTTAATGTGAATGATATACTGCATTAAATATACAATCCACAAGCTCATCCCTTACAGTTACTTTACACAAAAGGTAAGTATTTGTGAGCTGCTTACTAAATGAGCACAAAATCTTCCAGTAAATCACAATGTCGGTCTCTTTCTCCGGGTATCCTGCAAGGGAATCCATTAAGTGCTATTTTTAGCTTTGAGTTGTGGACCTAGAGTTGGTGGTTCCCCCTAATTGCAATGGCACTGGATTATTTTTAGAACGCGTGTGTTTCCTCGGACCATGAAAAGAACGGTTCAGAACTCCTGCTCAACATCATCCCTCCACCTAACTCTCTATTGGCCATTAACATGTCAGAGGACACACACACTGACCACAGGCTTCAATTGAAGGTTTAGCCATGCAAAAGGGGCTGGGATCAGATCCACCCAGTCCTCTGGGGGTTGGAGGCATAAGACTAGTCGTTGAGTATAGCCCCCAGTCTTTGATCAAAGGCAACCTGTGTACAGAAGCTGCCTTGTAGATGAGCTTATGTGGTGACATAACAGGGCGGGTGCCACGGAGTCATGGGGGGTTCACACAAGTTCTCTAAATAAGACTCATTCTGGAGTTATTTCCATTATTGTAGTGGATGGTTATACATGTTTTCCTCCTCAGTGTAAAGGATTTACCTTGAGTAAAAAGCTCTTTCAGCCTAGATGGAGACAATAAATCTGAGCTTTGATTAGGACCGCTCTTGTTTAGCAGTCTAGAAAGAGTCTGGAAACAATACTCACAGATGTCTCATTCTGCTGAAGGATCATACAAACATTCTTTCACATGTTTCACATTCAATACCATACCTACCTGCGCATTGGCTTTGCGTCCATGCACTGAAGAACAATGTTTGGTCCCACACCTTGAGTTTAACCTACAAATCAATAACAAAACAAATCAGACTGTTTGTTTATCTTCACCACAAATGTAACAGGAGAAGTTTAGAAATTGCATGTGAACGTAGCAGTGTTTCTTTCACGTGTTGTACATTTAGTTTTGGATATCTGGCTTTATGTTTACTTTTGAGAAAAACAACTCTTCCTGTGAGAGCACACCAACTGCTTTTTCACTGTAGGTTAGGCCACACACTCGTCCTGATGCTTTTCAGAATTTCAGAATTTGAGCTGTTTTTTCTCTCAGCAAGACTGAGATCAGATCGATGTGCTTCCTTCCACTGAGTCACCAGTTTATTACACACCTGTACAGCTCCTTTGTACACCTGTTCTACTGCAATCAAATGCCATCGCCCTGCAAAAGGAACCCTTTGTAAAATGTATGATTAGGGCTGCACAATTAATCAAACTTTATTATCAAAATCCCAATGTGCAATATGCAAGCTGCAGAAGCTGACATTTTTTGATGAAGGTAAAATGTGACAAAACACCTGTAGTGCTGCAGAGATGATCTGGCCTCGATGTATGGATGCTTATTTAATACAGACCCCGCAAAATAGCAAATTGAGGTTTTTACCATATCATAGCGCTAGTTAGGATGTACAGTTTTAGCTGACAGTGTGTAAAACAGGTGTTACATTAACTCTGGGGCCATGTACAGACTATAATTATGTAGTGACGCTTCTGCTTTTGGAGTTGGATACATTGTAAAAGACATTTCGATATAATGCAGTCCCAGTACTCACAAAATCAATTTACACCACAAGGTCCCAGTTTTTTGCTAGTAGGGGTGTCATTTATTAGTCCCCAATCATTGGGTTTGGTACGCCCAGTGACCTAGTGGTCTATTTTATGTCTACATACTCGCACATGTGGAGCAGAAAGCACAAGTTGACAGTGTACCAGCTGTTGTAGAACAGATGTACAATGCTAGCCGAAGCAGTTAGTGCTGCTGCCATTCAAATAGCAAACACATATGATAAACTAAAATAGTGTCAAACTGCGTGCTGACACAGCGGGTATGTCGGGTATGTCAGTGGAAACGTTTCAAACACTACGTCAGCTGTGACAGCTGCCTACTAACTCATGAGCTACTGTTAAAGCTTAACAGTTTTCAAAATAAGGGACTTTTTTGTTTTCCCTTGCACTGAGCTGCAGGTAGCACCGGTAACAGTGTGTTACACAGAGGGATCTGGGTGTTCAGCGACGCTAAGAGAAAGAGTTCAATCCACAATTCAGCTTCCTTTAGGGTGTGTTCATGGGTTTATCAGAGCCCTCTTTCTCTGTTTTCCTGTAATAAAGGTTGACCTCTGCATTTGTTGTTCAAAGGGTTGTGGGTTTGAGAATCAGCTGTCACAGACTGCTGCTGCTAGTTCAGATCACATTACACAAGCGGTATTAACCTTACCACAGATCAGGATTCATTAATGGGAAAACAGGACGCCAGTACGGATACTGTTGCACGGGATGAGCCAGGCTGAGACTCGGGTGTTCAGTTCCTATTAACTGAGCTTTGTGTGTAAATACCCCACTGTCAGTGCAATGCCCCCACACAGTGTCAGCACACAGTCGCTCCCTGAGAGTGACTCGTTTCAAACTGCATTCCTCGCATGACTATCATGTAGTTAAGAGGGGCTAACTGTTTGTTGTTAGCATTTTCAGCAGATAGACAGATCCGGATACGAAGTCAGCTAGCTAGTGAGCTAACGTTAATCCCAATTTCTACTGGTATTAATGTCCACTGAGCTTTATCGATAGCAGTGGCAGGGACACGATAGCTAAAGAAAAAGTGCGTGTGCTTCCAGGCCGATTTCATTTGCGCAGAACTACAAAAATCAATGCTAGCTAACGTGGTTCCTGAGGATGTGTGGGAACGCTGTGTGCTCTCGCTAGCACTGAGGTTCCATCCACGTCTAAACACAATACAACCAGAGAGCTGACACAACCAAAGAGAACCAAATGTAACACAAATGAAGACATTTGGTTCTAGAGTATGTGTGTCCGCCTGAGAGTCAGTCTCAGCAAGCACCAGGTCAGAAACCAGCTCGGTTGTTATAAACTATAATGCTAATGTTAACTAAGTTACCGTCAACGCTTCCGAAGTGTCGTGTGTTCACACTGTTAGCAGCGACAGCAGACAAACAATAAGACACGTTGAAGACGGCCTTTACCTTAGATTTCCATCCCAACGGCACGGAGAAGTGGCCCAGCTTGCTAATGTTTACAATTTAACGCCGTCGGTTAAACACTGGTGCTTTTCTCCCTATGTATGCGCATGCCAAATGCGAAGCGCCACTTCCGGACAGCGTTTTTCAAAATAAAAGTATGAGGTGACGTCATTGTGTTGGACAATTTTACAAAATTAAAGATTTAGAATTTATTGAAATACTTGGTTGGGAATTTGTGCTCCTATATTAATTTATTGGCACTTGCTATCCACCAGAGAGCAAGCCTTCAGGTTTTGGAGCAATGCCATAGAGCAGTTCTCGAACCTCTTGATATCCACATAAGGCCTTTGATCTGCACTTGATAAGATGTTTTCTAAGTGGTCCCTGTCTGTTGGGATGTAGTTATTAACTGTCTATACTGTAGACGTCTAGTCAGTGAAATAATTAAAATATTCCCCATTTTTCTAGGACCCCTGAGGCCCCCCAGACCCCAGGTTGAGAAATACTGCCATAGAGCAATGCAAAGGTGGAAACTGTGCATTTGTTTGTGCATTTGTTATTTTGATGAAAGTGTATGTGAGTTTTCCACAAGTTTTCTTTCTGACTAGACTCTCTACAGTTTAATTTGAGACATGCTGGAGCTCTATTATATGTTGCAGATGATCATAGTGTTCTCTACCCAGTGATGACAAAGATCAGGAACAAAGGAAGCCAGGCTGTTGTGTTATTGTCTCTGATGGATGACATGTACTGTGTGTTTGTGTTACTGATGCAATCAGTACAGTGACAGGGCAGTACAGGCAGTATCAGCCCTTAGAAAACTCCATTGCAGCAGTGCAGGAGCGTCCATTTCCAGGATCAGATCACTTTGGCCCCCATGTTAGTCAGAACACAGGCATAGGGCTCATTATTTTCTTTCTTTTTTAAAATCTACGTATATTTTTTACTAAAAGCATATTATAAAATGTCATTAGCCAGAGGACTCTGTTGTCTGCAAATATCCCTGAATAGTATGCACAACTTTTTGACATTTAACATGGATGAAAATTTGTTTATAGCAATGTAATCGACACGGCTGCTTATGAAAGTGTCTTCATGTGTGTCTCATGTAAACCTGATGGTTGTTGGAATGTACAGCTATTTAACAAAAAAATATAACTTATAACTCACAGTACCTTTACTTTCAGAAAGGCACATTCATCCATACCAAGACAATTTATGTATGTATTCATGTACATTTTTCATGTACATTTTTGCTTAATATTTGTACATCTTTACAGACAGACAACATCAATGGTTCCCAGTCAAGGAAAAACTGGGAAATGGAAGAAACCTTAGGAGAGGCAATTCAAGGAAAGACCCCTCCCCCCTCAGATGGCCAGATGTTCAACAGGAGCCACAGCTGAGAAAATAGTGCAAATGTAATAATTCCTTAAATAGTGGCAGGTCAGAGGGCTGCAAGTGTTAAAAAGTGTTGCAACTGCTGTAACTGTTTAAAACACACACTCAATGTAACTGTTGTAATTGTTTTACTACTATTACCATTCTAGCAGTAAGAACTTAAGTTCAAAAAGCTTAATTACATCCACTTTTTGTTTATATTTTATTTTATTTATTTAAATAAACAAAACAGAAAAAGTAACACCGTTACTGTTGGCCTCTAATTAAGAGGATTGAGGAGGGTCAGGTCTGTAGGAGGAAGAGAAGGACTCCTCCTCCTGTCTGAGCACAAATTTCCACCCATCAGAGCAGCCAGCTTTCTGTGAAGTCTCCGTGCATTGACACAGTCCACGCCTGCAGGACGGCCCGGTGCCGTTGCTATGGAGACAAGCAGGCTGCAGGCTGGACACCATCCCATTTGGGAGGCTGTGGTGTCACATCCTCCTGTTCCTCCACCTTGCCTTTTTCCCTCTCCTCTTTGTTGTCCTCCTCTCCTCCTCCTCTTCCTACTTCTCCTCCTCTTACACTTTCTTCTCTTCTTTCCCCTCCTCTTTCTACTCCTTCTCTTCTCACCCCTCTTTCTCCTTCTCCTCCTCTTGATCCTCAGTGTGGCCTGGCTCTCTTCACTTGAATCATTGCTGGTGAGGAGCCTCATTTCATCCCATTTCTGCAGGTCGTTTTCATCACAGTGGACCTCTAAGGCCTCTTCCTCATAACCTTCATCGACCTCCTCCTCAAACTCCTGCTCCTCCTTCTCCTCCTCCTCCCTCTGCTCCTCTTCCACCATTCCGGGTCTTGGCTTTGTTGGCAGCAGGCTCTGCTTCAGCAAGGTGAAGGGGGACAGGTGCTCTGGGCTGCCGTACACCTGGGGTTTTTGGAATGGAAAAAGGGTAAAGGGTACACATTATTTCTTTAATGTCTTGTAAGCACATTGAAACAAAACAAATATCCCCCAGGGGATCAATAAAGTATTTCTGAATCTGATTCTGATCATGTGAATTAGATATACAGACGGGTGACAAATGAAAGGAAAAACCTGACTGAAACAAGACAAATGCTTTCATACATGGCCAATGAATGGTTTGATGAGTATGAAAATGAACACTTATAGGAGAATGCAGAGGGTTCCAGAGGCTAGGAGGTTTGTTTTTCCTTTAAATTGTCACCTATCTGTATATTTAAAATTTTGATTTAGACAAGCTGCTAAATAGTAATGGAGATTGAGTAGCTGGGTCAAAACGGTACCCTTCTGAAGCGGAAGGCAACAGAGCAGAAGTATGGGAGTTCCACAGGGGATTCATCATCAAAGGAGGATTCATCATCAGAGGAGGATTCATCATCAGCAGATTTATCATCAGCGGATTCATCATCAGAGAAGGATTCATAATCAGAGGAGGATTCATCATCAGAGGATTTATCATTCAGAGGATTCATCATCAGCGGGATTCATTATCAGAGATCCAATTCATACGGTATTCATATCAGAGGATTCATCATCAGCGGATTCATCATTAGAGGATTCTTCATCAGAGGAGGATTCATTGTCATAACAAGACTCGTCCTCATCACTGGGTTTATTGTCGTCACCAGATTCATCATCGCCATCATCATCACAATCACCATCAGAATCTAAGGACGTGTCTGTAAGTAAATTTAGGCAACGACTGTCATACATTAAGTCCTGTAACAGGCTGACATTATATTTATCCCAAATGAAATTCCCACCAGACATTACTGAAGAATCATTATTCTTCCCCAAAAAACCCCACTAAAAACCACTTCTAGAGTCCATCCATGAGCACTGAGATGACAATGAATCTATGCGTGCTCAGATTTCAAACTATATTTAGAATACAGCATGTTATCAAAGCTGTAAGTGTCCGGTGCTTCTGTCAGACATGAGTCTGAGGAGTGTCTATGTTGGCACCTACTTTCAAAGTAGCTGGTGTCCTCCTCATTCTCCAGCTGAGGGACAAATAGAGCCTTCTGACTCAGGAGGTTTTTCCAGTCCAGACCTTGGAAGAATGGGTGTGCCTTCACCTCACTGGCTCCTCCTGCATTAGACAACGTACATTTCATTTGTACATCTACACGTCTTGGGCCTGACCATACCTCTCCACACATACTGTATGCTACCTCCATTTGATGTTAGAGCACTGTCATTCAAACATAAAGAAAAGACCTGAGGCAAGCATTGCCATTTTGTTGGTTGGCTGAAGAAATTCCATTTCATAATATTTTTATAAAATAGCTACACTACTGCTGCACTGTCTGTCGTCATGGCTGGGTTGCTTAGGGCACCGCAAATAAGTTTGCACCCAGTGAAGCTGCTACTTGTCCTGAACAAAGTCATAGTGGTGGCATCAAATCAGCGCTCTTAGGTACTGTGTATGTGGAAATATTACTCTAGCAGTTTATCTGTCTACTGCCACTAACCTGTGCCCAGACGTCTCACGCAGTTCTTCTTCAGGAGAAGGGTAATCATATCTTGGGCATCAGCTGGCAGGGCATCTCCCCCTTGTGGCCAAGTGACCTCAGCTGGAAAATAAGCAGATATCAGTGTTCTGATCAAGGAATCAAGGATTTCCTCTACATCACTAAAGGGACTGAAAGGCAAAATTCTTAAGGAAAAACCTTAATACAAATGAAAACCACATTATGGGCATCACAAAGTCGGAGAATGTACATTTAAATCATCTCTAAAATGCAGAAAGATATATTCCGTACTGCTAGCATTACAAGTGTGTAGAAAGGTTGCATGTGATGAGAAGATAATGAATGGAACTACAGATTCTTACTTCTGACCGCCTTAAAAAAGATCTCTTTCACTGAGTGCCCAGTGAAAGGAGTCGAGCCCACCAGGAACTCATACAGAATGATGCCCATGGCCCACCAGTCTACAGGCTTCCCATAGCCTTTCTTCAGGATCACTTCTGGGGCAACGAACTGTGGAGTGCCTGATATCTGGGGGAGGAAATGGACAAGGAGAGGAAACAGAAAATGATTGTTCAGTATAACAGTACATATAACATATAAAAAGTGGAGAAGAGAATGGACTAACCTCTGTGTCAGTGAACTCTCTGACAATCTTCATGATGCAGCCTTTATCCAGGTCAGCTGCCATGTTCACTGGACCAATCTTTGACAGTCCAAAATCAGCCACCTTAATATGGCCCGTGGCACTGATCAACAGACTACAATGGAAGGGAGCAGAAAATTGTCTGTTAGCTCATACGCCAACCCCAAAACATGGACCTAACATTGAGTGAAAAATTCCAAAAAGGGAAGAAATTGAAGAGATTGATGAAAGCTTGAATTCACTAAAAAATCACTCCCTGAACAACAATTATCCAATCACAGCAGGTATGGTCTGTCAGGTCTGTGAAGCTTTGAATTTCCAAAACCAAAACCACATGAGTAAGGAAAGGCTTTAAACAGTGCTTTTATCTGCTTCACTGTAAGCTGCAATCGTTAGTATGTTGGCCTAACTAGTTACAGTTATGACCGAGTGTTACTTCATTACCACGTTCACTTCCAAGGCTGTGGAGCACATCATTGGCAAACTTTTATGGGGCTGAAGGATACTTTAGAAGATTCAAAGAAGCCCTGTTCACAATAGCTCATCCACTGCTGATGGCCCATTATTCCAAAACCCCAAAATGTCCCATTGGACCAAAGGGCCATTTCTCTGAAAATGCAGTTTTTAACAGAAAGATTAAAAATGTGCAAGATGGTTTTCTTAAAGGTTGAGGACTCACTTGCTGGGTTTGAGGTCTCTGTGTAAGATGCCGTAGCTGTGGATGTACTCCACAGCCAGGACAGTCTCTGCGACATACATGCGGGCCATGTCCACAGGGAGACACTTATAGTGTTTAATCAGAGAGGCACAGTCCCCACCTACAAGGTCAGAACAAGGGACAGTGTTAGGTCAGATGTTACGTTTAGGTCCTCTTAGTGTGTGTACAGTGTGGTCCAAAGACCACAGATCTTTGGCTAATTAAACAAAGACACTTGTATGCACGACCAATCCAAAGCAACCTCCTTACCTCCTACATACTCCATCACCATGCACAGGTCAGTCTTTGTTTCAAACATGCAAAACATGGAGACAACAAAGGGGTTGTCCGTGAAGGTGAGGATGTCGCGCTCCACCAACACCTGGGCCTGTAGCTTCTTGCCCTTGTTCTGCCGTTTGATCAGTTTCATTGCAAAAGCCTGACCCGTCTCCCTGTGGCGCACAAGGTTCACAGTCCTGGACGAGAAAAAGCCAACATGAGCAACTTCTATGACTGAATATGAAAATGTTGGAATTACAAAGTATGTATGTTATTCTATAACATCACAGTGTCTTTTATGCTTTCACTGAACTATCTGCAGTGTCCAAAGACTCCATTTACTAACTTTAACTTTACTCACCCAAAGGCGCCACTGCTAACCGACCTGACTGTGTCAAAGTCACTCTCCACTGGTTTTCTCCAAGGAGGGCTGTAGGCTGTGCGGGTCTAAGTCAAACACAAGAACATTCTTTAATACGTAAATAAACAAATTGCAAAAATATATATAAGGTGTGAGTAAAGTGAAAACTTCAAGCACGCTTGTTTTTGACCTGACAGCCCTGCCTTATTCACTTCCTGGGGACTGTGTAATACTTAAAATTTAAGTTCAACATGGAGTTACAGACCATAATATGGAAGCCCATTTCAGCCAGTAAAATAAAAATGAGATGAATCATTTAAAAAATGTTCATGTGTAGACAAAATTCTTAGATAAAAAGTCATAATTATGAGATCAAATTCTGAGATTCTTTTGACTTTGTATCTCATAATCATCTTCTTTTCTTTCTGGCGGAAATTATAACTCTATATCATTGTTGCTGTCTGTAAGAATATTAATTAGTAAATATAAGTGACATTATAGTATGTTTAACCAACATGACATGCATTTTTGGAATTATATTAAAGGGCATTAGGACTATTTAACCTAAAAGACCTGAACCACTGACCTGACCTAGACCTGATTTATTAAGCCAATGTATTGCCTCTTTTTGCCACTTTTAACTAATAGGCTAGTTAATTTACATTGCCTGTTTTTACCTATAATTTCAGTGAAAGTGGGTACAAAGACCAGGTCATTTAATGCACAGCTGTCAGTATTTTATGTGGCCTAAGTCATCATCATAATCTATTTTTATTAAGATCTTTCCAAGTGAATTAGCTAGGAGGAAAAATGTCTAGAAGATGCTAAACACCCACCTCGTGGAGAAGCTTCTCCAGTTTATTTTGCAGCTCCACAAAGTAGAGAGAGCTGACCAGACCGTTCTGGACCGTGTTGTCACAGTCCCTGGCCAGCTGGAGCAGCTGGAGCTGGATGAACCTCAGGGCACTGGTGGCCTGGAGCAGGTTCCCGTCCGGGTTCTCTGCCACTGAGTCCATTTGGGCTGACTCCTGGGACTGAACAAAGATTTCAGATAATGATAATTATTATTTCTGTTCAGGCAGGGTTGAAATTACAGGTCTGTGAGTAGGGAGTTGTAGGGTGATGTAACCAACTGTTTAATCTACCATCTTTGTGCTATTCACCATTTAGTTCATAAACAATTAAACGGTTCATAACACGCTGTAATGCAGTTGACATTTTAGTTATACTGCAGCATTTTGAATCAAGTGAATGAAAGCACATTTTAAAGGTTACGGGGGAAATGTGATTCATATTGATATCAATATAAATTTGCCAATAAGGACAACGTCTTCCAGAATATTTGGTCATCAACCCAGCAGGAGTGAATGGACTTGTATACCTCGTGTGTTTGACAGAATGAGATCTCAATCATGGTGTATCACATTCACATAACTTTAGGGTTCTTGTTGTTGCCAATGCTAGTTTTTGTTTAATCTGCTGTTTCCTGTTTCTTTTATTTCCTGAATAATAATTATTACTCATAAATGTAACTCTTTTATTTTTCCTTTTTTGCTAGCTGTGTGTTTGACCATAAATGTGAATATTTGTCAGTCCTGGTGCTGTGTTTAAAAAGGACATTGCTTTATCTTCCCTCTATGTGTTAAATGGAGTGCAGCCATTGTCAAGTATACACTACCTGTCCCTAAATGTCCAATAAACAGAGTTAAAGATTAAGCGTGAACCAAGGAATTACAGCAGCACCATGAGGTAATAAATCTGAAAATGATGGTAAATAACATCCAGTATTCAACAGTAGCCTAGCAGTTAGCTAAAATCACCTTTGCTAACGCTTTCAGAGGACAAAAAGGAAGATATATGATATATTGACTCATAAAATATTTAAAATAAAATAAATCACTAATAAAATGAAACTTACGTGCTGCTTGTTGCTGCTGAGTTCCTAGGATAAACTTTACTTTTTATTTTTTAACTTGAAATAGGCAATGCAAACCTGCACAGCAAATCTATTATCTATCTATGTCTTTCTTTTTTTACACTGAACACTGAACTTCAACAAAAGGGGAAAGTTTATTTTGTCTCTGTCGGACGCCACTGAAACATAACTGAGAGGTATCTGTCAGTGTTTGAGTCTCTGCTCTCAGCTAGCTGAACTTCTCAAGATTCTACTGTGACAAATGGAATTTACATGTTCCATTACATGTAGGCTATGTGCATTCTCACTACACACACAAATATGCAATGCATTGATTGAACTACAGATGGACACACACACACATACATATATATCCATACACATATATATAAACAGATCCTTTACTTAAAGCCCCTAAAAGGGACTTTCATTTTGTGTTGATTATGGCGCCCCCTGTGGACAAAACTGGTAGTGTACCGTGTCATTTCATTGATTACGAGAGAATCCAACTGAATCCGACCTGGTGGCAGGCATTAAGAATAACTATTCTATACAGTTATAGTCAATAGTCCTAATAGTCTATTTTCTTGCTTATATTCTTGAGGAATCTGTATTAAAGGGCCGTTTCATAACCAGTTAAAAACTCCTGGTAGTACACTTTAATCAAATCACACTGCAAAAATACTCTTTTACAAGTCAAAGTCCTGTATGGAAAGTGCAGCTGCATCATCATTTTATTAACTGATTTTTTTCTTAACTTAATGTGCAAGGTAACTAGTAACTATAATACTCAGATACAGTAGTGGAGTAAAAAGTACATTTCCTGCTGAAATGTAAGGGTATATTGGAAGAAGTACCCCAAACTTACTTGAGTTAATCTACGTAGTTACATTCTACCACTCACAACAAGAACACAGTTAATTCCAAGAAACAAAGTCAATTTTATCAAGAAATAGACAAAATCCTTGTAGTGCAGCCATGAACTTTAATTTCCAGTATCTTTAACATCTAATGTGAAAGTCCATCTATTCCCAGTGTTCAGTTCATACATGGCTTCTACGGTCATCTAACATTCACAATCTAAGGAAGCATTTACTCATTGTATTGCTTTTTGTCTGTGCTTAACATGTGCTCTACTGAAAAGCCTCTTAACTCTTTTATCCAAAATTAAAGGTGGATGTTTTGAGAACAACAGAGTTGGGCACAGCAGGTGGAGAACCGTCCAAATTAGGTGTTTATAACACTCCAAGCAACAGAGAATTTATTTACTGTCCTGAATCCTGAATCTTCTAAAGTAGTCTTTACAGAAGCTAAATCATGTTATTATTTCTTCTGAAGTGCCCAAACTGACATTTCTATTATCCTCAAACACATCCTTAAATAAACTCTAAAATCAAACTGAAAACCAAATCTATACGCTTACATCATTTTCCAACAAAGTGCCTTGTCTCATCATATTCTCAAATAAATTAAATACAAAGAAATTCATAACACATACATATTAACAAAAGTTTCATCTCACATATACCCATATTTTACTTGACATTCTCATCTGGGAATCTGATTGAATGAAATTAAGTTAGTGATTCAACAAGTTGAATTGACAAGTGCCTTCACTTCATTTTGCAAGACATTTGAATTGAAGTCAACCAATCACAGGTTGTCTTTTCATTAAAGAGTTAATGATTTACTCCCTAACTTCCCATTTATCATTGTCTTCTGTTTTTCGGGAGGCGGGCTGTAGATCAGGCATGGCTGACTGGCAGTTGTGTCATTGAATGGGAAATGAGTGGCTGCAGCAGAAGTGGGTCTGGAGTTTGGACTGGGGAAGTAAAAGAAAAAAAATGATGAATGAACCACAATAGATTAATAGAGACAGAGACTAACCACACTACATTACATGCTTTCTAAAACGATCCCAGGTTTGGAACTGAATTAACAATGCTATAATTTACTGTAGTGAAAGAGTGATTCCTCCAGGTATGGGCCATACAGTCTAGATAAGCATACTGGGTACATGTTTCTTACCATCCATATAAGTCAGTGTAGTGAGGAGGGGTGTGTCTGGGGAAATATAGGTTGTGTATTGCAAATCCTCCATCAAAGGTGGTGTCAGCTGACCAGAAGCAAGTGATGTCATCATGGTTGAGGAAGCAGGACTTGGGCTGATGTATTTCTTTTGACGAGCTCGACAGTTCTGAAACCAAACCTGGATGGAGGGGGAACGGACTGATAAGTGGTGCTGACACACTCAGACTTCCCTTTCCTTTTCAGGCAGAGAAATATCACACTAAGCAGCATTCTCACTGCCAATAAACATGAAGGCAAGTTAGAATTCTCAGTACAACTTTAAGATCCTGATTAGAATCGTTTTTTAATATAGTGTAGAGCAACTCCTCTAGAGGCAGTGGCTGCTGCTTTACCTGAATGACCCTGCGGCTGAGACCAGTCCTCTCTGCCAGTTTCTGCAGGGTCTGAGCGTCTGGGTTATTATCTTTAGCAAACTGAGTCTGCATCACCTGCACATGGAGAGATGACAGACACGTTTACACGGTTGACTGTTTAGTCGAGTTTGATCATGTTATTATTAACGGTTAAGAAGAGTGGACAGAGGAGTCAGAGCGCTTGGTCTGTTTTCAACTACAATGCATTAACTACAACTACCACTAGAGGGCAGAAATTATCTAAACAAGGTGAAAATCACTGGCTGGCATATTTGTTCAGCAGACACAGAACAGCATTAGCCACCTGACAAATCTAAATCAAAGAGTCACTCTCCTTTTTACTCTGTTTGGAGAATTTGCCCGAGGTCTTTAGCTTGCTGAAATATATTGATGAAATGAGATGAGCAGATTTAATATACACAATAGCAAGGTGTAGTCTTATATTCAAAGACAGCCATCATCAAACTATTACTTCTATAGGAAGCCACAGTTACCCAATAGTAGAGCTGAGCATCTGCTTAGGAAAGTGGATGAAGACATCCCTCTGCAGGTGGCATACACACACACACACACAGCAGTACCTGTAACTGGTCAACAGTGAAGCTGGTCCTGGCCCTCTTAGCAGGTCTGGGCATGGTGCTGGATTCATCTTTGTCTCCCACCTCCTCCTCTACTTTTGGTTCCTCTTTAAGACACGACACAGAGCACGTTACAAGGATCGTTTGACATTTGGAAATACAGGCCCTGTTTCAGAGGACGTCCTCCTGTGGCCAACCTCTAAGTTTGAACTTTAGTGACATCAAACATGTCTTCACAATCAACAATCAGAAACCTGAACAACAAAAGCAACCAAAGCTGACCAATCCCAGTTCTCCTGTGTGGTCTCCACACTGTATCTCTGTTACATTACACTTTCAGTTACAGTGTGGGCACAGCAGCTACTTGCTGGCTAGGCTGTTTATGTTAATAGGGATGAGTGAGTACACCATTATCTGTATTTGGATCTGCACTCAGAATGGGCAGGTGGGGCTATATGCGCTGATCAGAGGTTGCTGTATTTATCAGAAATATATTTACAAAACAGTCTCAGAATGGAGCTAGAGAGTTTACAAGTGCTGAGACGGTGCCATTTTCATTTGCACTTCATTTAAACTAATTGGTAACACTTGTGTGTCTAATTTAAATGTATTCTACAAACAAATATTTGGATGGAGTCTGTCATGAGGCTGTTCGTGTTATGTCCTGATTGTCCTGATTGGTTTATTCACCAAAGGCAGCATTCCTAATCTAATCTTCTAAATGGTGTGTCCCTTGGCTTTACCATGTTGTCTTGTATTTATGATCAATATACTGACCCTTTACTGTTTCACTGTTGGGTGTGTCTTTTCTTTGTCCTGTCATCTATCCACTCACCATTTTCCTTAGCACGCTTGATATTCTCCATCATGATGTCATAGTGTGGCCGGCAGAAGACCCTGTTCTCTAGGAGTCCACATTCCTCCCCAGTGGACAGCTGACGCTTACAGGAGGTGCAGGAGAAACAGGCCAGGTGGAAGGTGCTGCCTCGGGCCCGGCGCACCCAGTCACTGGAATGGATGTTACGGCCACAGCGAGCACAGCGGGTCCCATATCTCCTGGAGACAGATGGCAAACAGGA